CAGAGGATGAGCTCTAATGAATTAACAGTAGAAATATCTGCAGGGATGACTGGGAGCCATTTAGCATTGCTGTATCAATTTATAGAGAGTGCACTATTAGTAAGAGTTTAATTGGGCTTCAGGTTAATAGCATTTGAAATTATTTACCATAGACCATCAATTCTGACCTCGCTTAGTCTGTATTCAGCCCACTACTATTTCAAGGCTATTGAGGGCTTTTCTTTTTCTATTTGTTATTTCATTTTAAATAATAAGGTCTTTTAATAGTGGGTTATTAAATACAGGTGTTCCCCGATAACAAGCACTCAATTAATGGGAAATGACATTTACGAGCACACATAATTTGTTAAATTCATGTAACAAGTTTAAAATTACCTTAGTGAGAAACACCTGACAAAAAGAACATTTTCCAAACAAAACTAAGCATTGGTTAACATAAGTATGGGATTGTTGCATCAGAATTTAATTAGCTAATAATTTCCTGGAATTAATTAATTTATATATATATATATATATATATATTAGGGCTGTCAATGATAATGCGTTAACGCATGCGATTAATTTTACAATCCTTAACGCATTAAAATAATTTAACGCAATTAACGCAAAATTACTGAAGCACAATCTCTATTCTAATCCTTTAACGCAATTTTGCTTCTCTGCTTACGATCAGATCATTTTAAGCTGCTAAACTCCGGGAAAGTTTTCAGTCCACTGATCCAGTAAGCGAATGCATTCAAACAATCCATCCAAAACAGCGTTAATATAAAGGAAACCAGGCTGATTACATCAGAGATTGCAGTTTAATTATCTAATAATTTCCTGGAATTAATTAATTTATATATATATATATATATATATAGTTATATTTTGATTTATTCTATAGTTTTGAAAATAGAATATTTAAAGTTTAGATCATTTGGATACTTAATTAATTTTTGTAATTAAGTAATAAAAATAAAAAAAGACCCAGAGGCTTTCAAAATAACAGCCATTCAATTTTGCTTAAGTAACATGTTAAATATTTTTAATAAAAAAAATGGATTGCAAAAATTCTAAAGAAAAAAGACCGCTTTATATTTGTCTACAACTTCCTACTGCTTATGCTAAGTTAATTTTGGTACATAATAGTGTGTCTAACCAATCCCAGTTTTCACAACAACAAAAACACTGAATTTGTGCATTAAAAATGCTTAAAATAAGTTGTACTAGTGGGACACCACAGTGTATTCCTAAAAAGTGCCAGGAACTGTTAAACTGAAGCACAGGCCTCTTACAGTATTGCCTTTAAAAACAGGTGCAACTAACACAAACATCAAACAACAACTTCTGCTGGCTTGTGGAGCAACATCCTCAAAAAGTGTGGAAACAAGTGGGACTTCATCAATAATAGAACAAAAGCTGCAGCACCTCTGGCTTACCAGCCTAAAACAAACACAATGAAAGTGTTCAAAGAAAGCTCCTAATGAGCCAGCCCCGCCGCTTCTACTGCTTCTCAAATCAATGTCTTCTAAGCCGCCCGCTCACACACACACACACACACACACACACACACACACACACACACACAAAACAGGGGCTTCTGGGCGGTTTGCAATGGCCGGTGTATTTTTCTATGCTATGCTTTCTATGATTTTTCTGTGATACAGCACTATATACAAATTATTCACAAAAGCCAACTGCATAAACCTGGTTTTACTGAAAGCAATGTGCCCTGGGAGAACAACGATCTTGAAGCACCTTCAGCCACCAACTTATTCCACCACTGTGCTTATTGAAGCTCTACAGTTTTTCGTGTTTGCCTTCTGCTTTGACATTACAATGCTGTCTCCACATGCATGCTCACACACACACATACACACGCACACACACACGCACACAGATCAATGAGGCTTTAGGGAGAAATTCATCCCTCCATTATTGCAGATTCAAACACAGCTCATCACCTGTGAGGAGTCAGGTTAGCCAAACTCTAGATTAACCGTCAGGGAAAAACAACTGGCCTTTAAATGGACTGAAATCATGGAGTAGGTTAAATCTTGGCAGTTATCAATTCCATGAAACAGGGAGACTTTGTTGTGGTATAATTGGAAAACATCAAATGAATACTGAAATGAGCATTTATGGAAGAAAAACATGTCATTTGTCTTCTACAGATTGACAGGAAAGAGTCCTTGAAAACAGCTCTGATCCTGGAAAATGTGTTATTTTGTTTCAAAAGGTTTTTATCTACAGTATATAAGATAAAAACATAAGCATTTTTAAGATAATGGCATGTATATAAATAAATATTACAAAACGTGGGATTATTTGCGTTCTATAGACAGTTATATAGAATTACTGTTATCTTTTATAGATTTGAAAGCAACTTTCAAAATCTGAAATCTTCTTTCTCAGTGGATTTGTTTTTAATCTAAAGTATATAAGAGAAAATATATAAGCATAATATCAATATTATATATCATAATATGTCATTATATTATAGCCTAAATTCTAAAACGAGCATTTAAGGTTGAATATATCAATATTTTTTATAAAATATCATTACATTATATAATTATAATACAATTATAAGTTAATTCTGAAATGAGCATTTATGGTTGAAAAACATGGAAGATTTTTCCTTTAATTGTAATGTCCCTGAAATAAGTAAAACTTTAAAAATATACCTATACTTTAGGTGCCTGAAAAGACGTCAGTCATGAGACCTCCGACTTATCTTTTTCTATTAAAGATGAACACTGCTAGTATTTATGTCATTAACTGTCTTTTACTTAAATAAGCAAAATCCTTCCTAATTCCATAAAAAGGAATCATTTCCATCATGACAGGATATAGTACTAAATTACAAGGGCATAAGGTCTGTACTGCAATTACTGTAATTCTTCTGCGAAAGGTGACGTGGAATGTATCTAGAGGTAGAAAAGGACGTTTAAAACTATAACTTTTTTGCTTTTGCTTTTTCTTTTCATGCAGCTGAATTTTAATGACCCAATCTTTTTGAAAGGCTGGGCACGTCATGTGATGTCAAAAGCTCATCGCTGCAATTACGACTCAAACTCTTTGCAATCATCCATCAGGGAGGCTGAAGTTCAAGAGTTTTATTGTCATGGTTTATCTGCTTTAATCACCTGAAGTGAAGTGGAAATAAATTTAAAAATACATTCTGCGAAGGCTAATGACTGTAGCGGGTAGCTTGTGGGTGGACGGCGGAGATGTGGTGGGCGGCAAAAATCACGCAAACCCCAGTGTCACTCGACTACAGGGAACAGTGGGCTGAAATTAATGTCCAGCAGCAGACTCCTGGTGTAAACTGACAGGGAATTACAACTGTTCCCATCCATATTTTGTTAAAAGAACACAATGGCTTGTACAAATTGACTGTTTTGATCCCTAAATTGCTCCTTTCCAATATAACATAATTAGAGTGAGATTTCTGACCAAATCAGGCTGGCAAAAAGACTTCAAGACTCCTCTGCTGATACAACTTGTTCCTGTACAAATATGAAACACAAACACACACACAAAAAAAAACACAATCATGCTAGAAGGATGGTATATCTCTCTCTTAAATGAGCATTTCAAAAGTGGACACGATCCAATTTATTATCAAATTTCCAACATCCCTTTTCACACATTGTTGACAGGTACATTGGGTTCCCCTCAAAAATCACTGTTTGGTCCGTGCTGATATGCATAATATGCATTTATACTGTACATGCTTAAATAAAATGACCTGTGTGATGGGAATTGAAACACCTATAAGCTTATGTTTTGGTCTAGTAATGTTAAATCAAAAATCGAAAACCATTGGAACACTGTATTAAAATGAGCCACAGAAAAAGTCATTAAAACAGAACTGGTGACTCTTGACCAATCATAGGACAATGTGGGTGGCTCAAGTCTAACTGCTTGTTCCTTGAAGAGCTTCAGCCATGAAAAGCTTGCCCAGGTTTTGAGATGTGAACTCCTTGATGGTTTGGCAGTATGTGTTGATTTGACCTAAAGAGTAGATGGGGGAAAAAAATTAGAAATATAAAATTCAAGGCAAAAACACTGCAGTTTATGGCATGAGACAGTGAGAAAGAAAGAAATCTGGAGGGAGTTGAAGAAGGTACAGAATACAGAGCTAGCGAGAGAAACAAAGAGAAACAGAGGCAGGGTGGGCTGCCCACTGAAGTGGCTCAGTTAATGTATTCCATTATGTACTGAAGGCTGGCCATCAAGCTCTTAGGTGATTGTCTTTCCGCTTGGCAGCGCTGCTGCTCACGCCACCGAGGAGTTTGGAGTTTAAAAGACCTTAAGAAATGGTGCTCCCCTCCATGGCACCTACAAGCGTCTAATTCAGCCCTAGATCAAGCCATTACTCCACAGCACTACAAAGAGCTGCTCATGGAAACAAATACTCTTATTTGATGCCATTGTATCGGCATCTCTTCTGATCTTGATGTTAAATGTTACAGCTGGCTCCTATTAAACTGGGATAGTTTTAGGAATGAGTTTGACCTACAGCAGCGTCAATTATATATATATATATATATATATATATATATATATATATGGTGTATTATTTTTTATAAATAAAATGGTAGTAAATATATAAAAAGTAAATACAATATTTTACCATTTAATTTGCTTTATTTTACATTATTTTATATATTGCACATTAAACACATTTAATATTAGGGATGCACCGAAATGAAAATTCTTGGCCGAAGCCAAAGCTGAACAAAATTAAACACTGGGCTGAAGGCCGAATACCAAACACGTTTTTTCGAGGTTTTTTTCTCATGTATTTTGCCAATTTTTTTTCACCATTGTATAAATTAAAAAGCCAAATTGTGCTTTTTACTGTTTTGTCTTGCTTTTCAAAAAAATAAATAACATCAGACCCCCTTCTTGAATCAGGCATGCATTTTTTTTTTCTACTGTACAATTAAAAGCAGCCTTGCTGAGAAGAGACTTCTTTTAAAACATTAGAAAATATTACCGATTGTTTTGGTCTAGTAATGTTAAATCAAAAATCGAAAACCATTGGAACACTGTATTAAAATGAGCCACAGAAAAAGTCATTAAAACAGAACTGGTGACTCTTGACCAATCATAGGACAATGTGGGTGGCTCAAGTCTAACTGCTTGTTCCTTGAAGAGCTTCAGCCATGAAAAGCTTGCCCAGGTTTTGAGATGTGAACTCCTTGATGGTTTGGCAGTATGTGTTGATTTGACCTAAAGAGTAGATGGGGGAAAAAAATTAGAAATATAAAATTCAAGGCAAAAACACTGCAGTTTATGGCATGAGACAGTGAGAAAGAAAGAAATCTGGAGGGAGTTGAAGAAGGTACAGAATACAGAGCTAGCGAGAGAAACAAAGAGAAACAGAGGCAGGGTGGGCTGCCCACTGAAGTGGCTCAGTTAATGTATTCCATTATGTACTGAAGGCTGGCCATCAAGCTCTTAGGTGATTGTCTTTCCGCTTGGCAGCGCTGCTGCTCACGCCACCGAGGAGTTTGGAGTTTAAAAGACCTTAAGAAATGGTGCTCCCCTCCATGGCACCTACAAGCGTCTAATTCAGCCCTAGATCAAGCCATTACTCCACAGCACTACAAAGAGCTGCTCATGGAAACAAATACTCTTATTTGATGCCATTGTATCGGCATCTCTTCTGATCTTGATGTTAAATGTTACAGCTGGCTCCTATTAAACTGGGATAGTTTTAGGAATGAGTTTGACCTACAGCAGCGTCAATTATATATATATATATATATATTGTCGGTGCTTGTAATGATTTTTGCGTCTTTCTCCTTAAAGGGGTCATATGATGTTGCTAAAAATAACATTATTTATATAATTATATAATTTCGGTTGCCGAACATTCGGTGCATCCCTATTTAATATTGATCATATAGTTAAAAATATATAATACATATACAGACAATACAACTGCACATATTATACAATAATTATTAAAATAAATAAAAATATACTATATATATATATATATATATATATATATATATATATATATATATCACATATATATATT